GAAACTACTTTGTTTGGCCTTCCAAAAATGGACACGACTAGAAATCAGTGGTTAAGTTGTATTTACAACACTGTTCCAGAACACTTCAACATATTCAGATGTGTGCAGCACATTTTATGGAGGACCGTTTCCAGATCCTGGTAGAGTAGACTACAATGCCGGCTGTTCTGACTCATATTTATATTTTTTATATTTACAGCAAGTTTTTTGGGCAGTGTAGAGTAGGGCTTGTTGTTTGTCATTTCTCCAATCACAAATGCAGACATGGTTGTATGTTTACGCGGTGCGATGCAACGCAACGCGTAAAAAGACAGTAGAAGTCATTATAATCCATAATTATGTCCCCACTGAATGCAACGAATGCCTCGTTTATAATGGGTTTTCATGTTTTTGAATCGTCGCTCCGGCCGGACAGGGCATCACAGTATGGTAGGGGCGTAACATTTCCATCACACGTTTGAGGTATTCAGCCAATCATAACGCACTGGATAGCAAATATACAAACTGGATACCAAATATACAAAATAATGTTCTTTTTAGCAACATCATATGACCCCTTTAATGAAACCACGGTTTTATTAAAAGGCTATGCCATTTCATTTATTATAGTAGTTAACATTTTAAAAGTCATGTTAAAACATTCAGAAGTTCTTATCATACAAATGAAAACTATTACAGTAATAAGTATTGTTTCATGAATAATAAACAAATGATTTATTTATCCACCTCTAACCTATAGTAAAGTATTAAAAAATATTGATGCAATTAATATGGTCTACATGCCTACTACTTTGTATTGTATTTTATGAGTTGTATTTGTAGGTGTTAATTATAGCACAATTCTTAACCCCACCCCAGACCTCACTAATTTTCAAACCCTGGTTACGGCCATGTTTTATGTCAATATGTTTTCACCTCATTTATTATGCTGATGTCTTAAAATGACCTGTAAACTGCCACTCAAAGAGATTTATAAACATATAAAAAACAATGAACAAAAACTAAGCAATGACAATTGAAATGAAGTTGAATTATATTAGAACTCTGTTCTATTATTGGTACATTTTTATATTTGAAAATGAAATCTTTTAATTATGGTATTTATTTGCATTTTTTCTTCTTTGTCCAGTTTATGATGGGTAATAAAAAAGTTTATATTAGATCGACCCACAAACAAAACAGAAATACAATGAATGTGAATTTTTAACTTTATATGTCATCCATGAAAATGTAAACACAAAACATTGAATTATTAAAATGTGTGCAATAATGAAAACATCAGTTCATTAACTATTTTTGATTTTAGCTCTTCCTAGCACAGAACTTGAAGCTCCTCCCACAGTAATTCACCTTCAGTGAAGCTCCTCCCACAGCAGTTCACCTTCAGTGAAGCTCCTCCCACAGCAGTTCACCTTCAGTGAAGCTCCTCCCACAGCAGTTCACTAATAAATGCTGGAATATTCCCATCAGCCTACAAGCGAAACAGATTGAGTTGAAGACTGAGAACATGAGTGACCCAGAACCCTGCAGAATGAAACCTGAAGATACTGAAGAGAAAACTGGTTGGTGTTTTATTCTTGATCCCTCCTTAATGAACATTAAATGAACACCGCAAGCACTCGTCGGAAATGTAACGGCCCTTACCATAATCACGAGCTTCATCTTTCAAAATAAATGTAAAGACAGTAAATAATGTAATTCGTTTTACCATCAGTTCAAGCCCGAAAGGG